ATTATTTTTTTGGTGAATAGAAAACAAAGTTTTTATTGAAATTCTCTTAAAAGACTTCATTTAACCGAAATAGTTGGCTTCAATTAAAATATCTTAACGATTATATGAAATAGACTTCATGAAAAATTATTTAGGTATAATGCTGTTTCTTTTTTTGTATTCTATTTGTTTAGTGTGTCAATAACTTGAATCATTTGAAGGATGTGACCTATCGAAAGACTAGTGAGTCACATATATGGTTTCTTTCTTCGAAATATTAAAACTTTCAATATTCGTTTTTATTCTATTAAAATGACAAAATGATATTAATTTAAATATTTTCTATGTCAGTCTAAAATCATATAAAAGTAAGTTGCTCATATATTAAATACATTTCATTTAATATCTTCAGCATAATCAAAAAATTTATTCTTGAATATCAACATTCAATGAAATAATATATTTAGAAAAACGAATATTTACTATTTTTCATAAAAGTGAATGATTAAATATTCCAAACACTGTATTCTTGAGTTTGTTTTTTTGTCATTGTATTAATTATAATGAAAATGATATTGTTCGTTTTATAAATTATTCAAATTTGTCATAGTTATCTGATCAAGAAGGTCAATTCGCTTTCTTCTTAGTCCTCAATGTGAATCCGAATTTATTTATTGGAAAAGTTTTTTGTTTCCAACTGATGAACTATGTTATGATATAAATGGAAGCCTATCAAAGGGTATGAGTGTGGGTGAGTGACAAGCAAATATAAGCACGCTCTCATCCCATCCCCAGATTCTATCAAAAATTGCTATATCGTAACAGCATATTGCAACTTAATGTAGATATTCTCATCAATGCATAGTACTTCTTAGAGATAAAGAAACAACAAATGTGTAGCATAGAAAATGTCCAATTTATCTATGTAGATCTCACAGAGACACAAACTTTGACAACCATAAAATGTGACCCATATACATTGTCACAAGTAGTAGGTGATTTCATCGGATTGAGCTCTATGAAACCTATCGATTTCTATGCAAGCCAGCCAAATACAACAATTAATGAGAACTTGACAGTTACACAAAAACACCGATTGTTGAAGAACAACTAAGATAAGAGCATATTTTTTAACACAAAGTGACTCTTAGCGATATGAAATTATGACATTCATTTTAGTTAAAGTTATTTATTGAAAAAAATGAATAAAAAGTATACTATCGAGTTTATTGAAACATTTCTATGAATTGTCTATATTTATTTGTAAGTTTCAGAATAATATGTTTTCTTAAAGAATGATTATAACGATAAAGTAGAATAATATTTAAAACAAGAGAATATGATGGAAAAAGAACCAAGAATATATAAAAGAAAAGATCCATTTGAAAGAGATGATGGAGCAATTACTGGTAAAAAATAAATTGGTATCCATCCAATAAGAAATATTCCAAGCATTAATGCAATATTTAATAAAATTTTTATATCACATTTTGAAACACGTTTGGAATGAATTCTATCTATTCTTTCTTCATTTTGATTATCATTAAGTAATTTCAATGAATTCGTCTGTGTTTTAGTATAAGCGTGAGGTTGATATCAAACTCTACTCATAGTTTCAATTTGATTTTGATTTGTATTTATTCGAGCACGGGATCGTACAGCCAACATGAAAACACTTATATTACTTGAACACATAAGTATCAATGGGCATAAAACAAGTGTTATGAATGTATAACTATTTATAAATATACCACGATTTGCCCCGCGACAAACCTAAAATCATTGAAATTATTTTTAAGTTTTATTGAAAATATCATAAAAGAAGTTTTTTAATTAATTCCAGAATTACATTTATGAAAAAACTTTCGAAAATAAAGATGAACTTTTCAAATAAGTTCATTGTCTTTCATTTTAGAATATCGTTTCTCTTTTTTTTGTGATTTTGCTGTTTGTATTAAATTTCATATCTACCCCTTAGATTGATAATTAATCTTGTCATGACATTAAATATAATTATCTTGTACTATCCAGAAAAACATTTTCAACGTTTTGACTTGCCCTTAGATGTGACCTTTGTGAGGTTCAATAGTTTTCTCTACGGTCAATGCTAATTTTATTTTTTGACATGATGAATTGGTGAAGTTTATATATAATGAAAAATAAAGAATCTATAAATACGTTTGAAATGTCGAATAAAACATGACCATTTTTTGTTTCTACTTTGATGATACTAGTCCGTGTAAATTGATGTTTTCTTTTCTTAATGGACTTTCTTTGTTGCTGGTATCTTAATCTGATTACTTGGAAAATTTATAAAAAAAGACCTTTCAAAACCATTATTTGAAAAGAATGTCGAAAGAATTTTCAGCTCATCTACTGATTTTTCAGTGGAACAATGTTGACATAACGAAAAAAAAAAACATTATTGGACGAACTTAACTTCATGAATTTATCTATAGACTAGAACAAAATAAATAAACTTACAAGATGATTTTGATATATTTGTGGCACGGGTACTAAAAATCCAAAAATCCATTGCAAAGTAATAGAAAGAAATATCCATTTTGATGACTTAAAAAAATGTTTACGATAATAAACAATTGAAATAAATCGATTAATAGCAACAATAACAAAGGAATAAATGACTTGACTATTAACTACCACTTGAAAGTATAATAAAACAGTACAAGTATTATCTTTACTAGACATTTGAAAATAATTTGGTAAAAATGTTAACATTACAAATAAACTTCAATAAATAGCATAGGTTATTGATGATAAACAAACATTTATTGTTAAGAAATTTAGTTTATTTGAACGAAGCGTATTGTTTAAGAATATTGTAAATGAATAAATCAAAGAAGAAATGGTCAATGTAACTAAATTTATTTCTTGTAAAATAGTTGTTGTAAGAGCTAGAGGTGTTGCATCAAAGATGCCCATCTTGACTTTTAAATTTATTTTATTTTCTATTTCAAACATATTTATAGATTTATATATATATATATTAATGTCTAATCAAAAACAGATGAAATATCTGTTATTGACTAACTCATTTCTGTATTTAATTACTTGACAAAAAAATTCGTTTAAAATCTATATTATTTTTAAAAAATATAATCTTTTACATTGATCATTGACTTTCATTCTTAATTAATACAAATATATCACAATGAATTTGTTTCAATTGAATATTACTGTCGACATCAAAAGTCTCGTACTACTTCTTTGTTTTGAGTCGTATATTTAAATTAAATAACATTACTTTTATTCGATTGTATGCCTGTATAGTAGAGATCAAGTACTATATATATATACATATATGCATCTATTTAATATGAAAAAGCCTTGAATATGAAATACAATAAGAAAACGAAACTTCAGTACTGCGAAAAATACAATAAAAACACATGTGCAAAAACATGAACATAAACTATCTAAATGTTTAATAGGATCGCATCGATTTTGTGCCTGAATGAATAATTCAATTCTTGCTTACTGTTCCGATGATAAAGTTCGATATTTTCTTCAATTATTTCTCGCCTGGTGGCTTCTTCTGTTTTGCCTCGAATAATATTATCCCACAATTGTTCATTACCACACGTTACACCTTCAAATGATTGTCTATCTTCGCTTACAGTTAGTCGATATTGATCTTCACCAATGAGACCTTCAGCACTAACATCGTGTCTCACTCCTTGAAACTCCAGTAAACGCTCATCTCTTTTAAAGATTCCTTCCACAAATTCTCGACCAGAATTTCCCAGACGACGAAAGATATGCGAATTCTCTGGAGCTTTTTCTAACGACCACAAAATACATCCTTCAATCGGCACAGTTTTTGTCTCATCTGAGTAGTTATCATTTTTGATTATTTTCAGTGTCATCTTGAATTTATATACATAGCCGCTGTAATGACCTTCTGCACTCATCCATTGACCGACATATTTGAATTCATCAGGCGCATTCTGAGGAGATTTATCCAGTGTCGATAAAAGTTGCTTGTTTCTGTTGAATAACGCAAATGATAAATCCATAACAGCGATTCGAAGATTTTTCAATCCTAAATTATTTATCAATGTTGTATTTGTTATCAATTCAATCCAAAATTGCAATACGAAATGTTGAATATTTTCTTTCAAATTGAAATTGTCACTTGTTCGAATCAATCTAATTTAGTAAATAGAAATCAATTAAGTAGGACCGTGAGCGATTTTCAGAATTTCGTACGAGACCTGGATTGGAGTCGGAATTAAGAGAGTTGTTTACAAAAAAAAAACAAGTATCTGTTTGATAGCTGAGGAACATTTCTTTTTTTTGCAAGAGAATGAGAAGAAACAAATAATGTGTTTTTTCATTTTTTTTAACTATGATTCTCATACAAAAGAAATCATTAAGATTCTACGGACTCTGGATCGAAAACGTTAATCCTGGAGGAAAGAACAATCGAATAAGCTTTGAAAATTCTCATTTGTAGTCGATTTATTCATTCTGTTAACTAAATCAATCGGAGCTTTTGATGCGACAAATAATTTCTCTGATATAGTTAATAGAATGAATCGATATCAAATGAAGAGACGAGCTCAATTTTACTTACGTAGTAAAAAAATGAAGAATGAATATTTTCGATTGATGTGATGGTACTAATAGAAATAGATCGAACATCACTTTGATAAACCACGAAGGAAACAAAAATGAAATAATCAGGTCTGTTTGATGTTGTGTCAACGAATCATCAATTAGCATGTCCAAGAATAAGTTTAGTAACTTGAAAAGAAAATCTAAAGTCGATTGCTTGATAATTGTCTTTTCATCAATTGACTCATTGTTAGTATTAGTGATGTCTAATAACGATGGTTCTATTAAAAATCGAATCGATTCTTCGATGACATATTTTTGTAATTGATATAGCAATGGAGCTGTTGTTTTTAATAGTTCACCAGTTATTGAATTTTCTGTCAAATGTTTTAATACTTCTTTCATTTCGGCTTTCACAATCGTCATTGTGAGCAATCTCATTCTATTCACAGTTTCATCCGTCTGTATTCGTGCATGTGTAAAATGGTAATCCATCAATTGTAATAACGTAAGAATAAAAGAGCTATCACCAAATTTTTCGATTGAAAATAAACTTTGCTGATCATCGCTAGAGCCGACTTTTAACATATTCAAGAAAGCATAACGGGCGTAAATTTTTGTCAGTTCATATTCGCAAGCACGTCGTGCGTTGAAGTATTGTTGCTGTGTCATTTGACGATGTGAATATTGAACGGATTTTTGGAAGTTTTTTCTAGAATCTCCAATAATGGATTGTTTCTTAGGATTTTTATCTCGGATCCACTCCGTTAGTGTATCATGGATACCTAAGCCACGAATAGATTCGTGATACCATTGTTTTTCTAAGACCATGTCATCTTCATCATCTTTCACTGCTACTATGTTATCAATGGCAGTTATCTGTTCGTCATTGTCGGATTTTAAAAGCATTACTAGATCCTCTGATTTTGTTTTATCAATGTACGGAGTTAATCGTGACAAAATATCGATTTTATGTTGTCGTTGCTCTCCATGATAGGCCTTTAACAGCATGTGATGTTGTTTGCGTATACTAGTATCAATCAAATGAAAATTCGTTGTATGGTAGTATTTAATAACAAATTTTATCCATTCTTCTTTGTATCCAATAGCCATTAGACTTGGCAATACTATAGAAAAAGGTGGAGAAACCAGTTTGTCCAATGAACATTCAGTTGATTTGATCAGTTGTGTCACGAATGATGGAGAAGTGCTTATTGATTTATTCAAAAATGTGATCGATTTACATTCTATTCGAAGTTTATCTTCAGCAGTCGTGTTCTTAGTCAAATTGACTTCTCTGAATAGATCAATGCGTCCAAATTTGACTTTAAATTGATCATCTGTGATTGGTACGTTGAGTTCTAATGATCCGTTTACATGAATTTTTAGACATGTTCGTTGAACAGAAATAACCAAACGAATATATTCATTCAATTTCAACGTTGATACACTCTTTTTTCCTCCGGAAAGACATAGATGACCATCGGGTGTAATATAAATTTCTGATTGTGTGTCCAACGTTACCAATGTTAACTGTGGTTCATTATTCGAAGATCCAGATGAATGATTCTTCATGGGAAAATTGGGTATAGAAATATCGAGAACCAGTGTATATTGAGACCATAGGTCAGTCGATGTGTCTAAAACAAGATAAGTTTTGTTTCCAAACAGTTGCACTACTGATTGATGAGTTCTAGGTATTGTCTTGAAATAAATTGATTCATCATGATCAGTTTGTTTTTTTTTCTTCTCCCAACTATTGGCTTCAAATGGTTGATTGAATGGTACAAGTGATTCGCTAATAAAATATTGTTGATCTTGAATGAACGTGAATGTATTCGCTTCTCTACGGTATTCTTTTAGTCGTTGATAATCGGCTGTCACATAAGAAAGGCCATAAATGAATAAACGTCGGATGAGTTCTTCTGAGAGAGCATATTTCCATATGCCTAGATTTTTAATTCCAGCGGCTATATGTGGTAAAATATTCACGTTCAGTGTCGTCTTCGCTGCAGGATCGAATGTATGACAGAAACCCAATGTTCGATACTCGTTATTGATGTAAATTTTCGTTTGTTCTTGCGCTTGAAATAGGATTGCAATACGTTTTCGATGTGGTATAGTTTCATCAGTAAAGTCATCATTTAGTTTATATAATGTTATTCGAATTGGAAAAGTGTCATCTCCTAATGCAAATAATGTAATATCGAGCTCGTCTTGACTATTTTCTACCAGATTTGCTGTCAATATTTCAAAATCGAAACTAATCGTCAGCGATTCATGGTTATCGATCGAAAGCGGCAAACCATTGCTGTCGGCTGATAATTTTAAAAGATGATGATCTTCTGTGATCTGATCGATAGTGAATGGAACTTCTAGATGATGATCATTGGCAAAATCACGTAGGAAAGAGCCTCTTTTACTAATTGCATTAGGTTGTGAACATCGAATTGTATGAAAATAATCTTGAATATTATTACCAACGAGATACGCGCTGTAAGGGTATGCAACCAGTACATTTTTGATATTGATCAATTTCGGTAGCAATAACGGCTTGTAACCTTCCGGTAATGGACAATCAGTCATATCTTCTGGACTAAATATGAATTCACAGACACCTGTATTTGTCGCGCTGCCATACACTAGCACACTAATGCTTGGAAAATAGTGTGTCCTAGGTCCATTAGGTAACATGTTAGCTTGATATGCTGATTCAATATCTTTATTTGACGTATGTGAAAAGCCAATGCCTAGAAATTCTTTGTTCAACCAATATTTAATCGTTGTGCTTTGGCCGTCAATTTCAATACCACAACCACAAACGTCATTTTCATTCCAACGAATTTCGCCACGAAAATATTTACTTTCATTATTGTGCAAACATCTACCGCTGAACCCCGTGTAACCCCACGAATATTCATCATCTCCCATACCTATTCCACGACTGGAATTTGGATTAAATCCGGTTGTTGCCCATCCGACTGTGATCATACCACCTAACGGAAGTCGAACACAATAATACCATTTGCCTTCACTCAACTGTAGATCCTCAACAACAAAGGTTGGAAAATAAATATCTTCGTTGCTATTAGTAATATTAATCTTTCCTTTGAATTTATGCTTGTTACCACACTCTTCCAATTTTGGTAGATGAGGATTGGGTGGTAATGAGACAATATTGAATTCATCATTACCTATTCTGCCCTTTAGAAATGACTGCATTTCGCTTTTAGATACGTACGGTTTCCATCCATTGCATTTTGATATGGTCGTAGATACAGCGTTCAAGATGAGAGGATCACGATTGATTTTCGCATGATTCCAAATTCCTGGGATTTCATGCTCGGCCTCCTTTATTCCTTTCATTCGTTCACACATGTCTAAACTTAAAATATATTGTTCCAGATGTAATATATTCAGAAGTCGTAATTCAGGCAGTTGCATCAAATTCATTGAGTCAACATCGTGAGACAATACAAATAGATTTGTAATGATAGATGCATAAGGTTTTTGCACAAAAATTTCGGCCATTTGCTTGTTATTGAGTAATGAATAGAATGCTGCCACGGAACAACGTTTGATTTGTAATAACATCAGCGACTCTGTTGTTGATGTATCAATTTGTGCAAAATAATTCAATGTATCAAAAATATAATGAATGGCTGCTTGTGGTTGATCATCCGTTGACAAGAGCATTAAATTTGATGGAAGAACATCAGTTACGATGTATAATTTATTCGCCATGATCCATTCGGTTTTATTTGTTGTTGCAGATTGGACAAAATAGGGCAGGGCATCATGTGTATCCGACTCCAGGGCACTTGCATCAATCTCGATAATGACTCCTAATTCCCACGGATTGTTACTCTTATCGTTATCATAGATTTGTACGACAGATCCTAAACAATACGGTCGAATATATCCACCCAAGATGGATAAAGATGCTAGAAAGAAATTCATTTGTGTTCTTTCAACAGATTCCAACGACTTCAACTCGAAGCTTAAACTCGATTTGACAGCATTGATGACCAGCTCTGTTGCCATTCTTTGCCACGGTGAATATTGAGACATTAGTGTACGATAAATATAGATGAATTCAGTGACTATTTCATTATTCGTGTTCATTGTTCGTTGTGTATTGGAATTGTCACCAATGTTAAACAAAATTTCAGTTAAGAGTTTTTCAATAATATGACCCGTCGTGCCATTCATATCCTCTGGTAATTGTGTCACTAAATCACGTAGGATTTTCAATACAAGTAAACGAGTAGTCGTATATTGATTGTTATGATAAATGTTCAATAATTCTTGAATGTAATCAGTTGTTGCACATACGAATCGCACATGATCATAGAAATGAATACAACGAAATAGAAACATTAACCATTGATCCATACAGAGATTAATGGCAGCTGTCGATGATAAGTGATCTGTCGTTGTTAATGGTTTCTTCACTGCTGCAAGAAACCAACCTATAGCAGCATTGTGCAGGGAAGAATTTCGGCATTCTTCACTAGGAATCGACGTTTGTCTTAATATTCTCAATCCTTTTAGTTCAGTTAAAATCAATGTGTGAAAGACCAAATTCAGTTGTTTTTGTAGCAATCGATGAAGTTTACGACCATCGAATTGCTTCCTTTTCAATTCTTCTATTTGAATATTTTCACATAATTCCAATACAAACATCCGAAACCAATTGTAGGCCGTTAATTTCATATCAAGTGAAGCGACCACGACTGAATCAGTTTGAACAAAGCTAACAAAAGATGTAAAGAACGTTTCAACAAATTGAAAATTTTGTAAATAAAAGAAATCCATTAATTCGTAGGATGTATTAATTAGATGAAACAAACTGAGTACTAACAGCTTTTTTATCGTTGACTCAAACGTGGAATGTAGAATGAACGATGCCACTGTATTGATAATTAAATAGTAGTTCTGTCTAATGTCTTGTTTCATTTGAATATTCGATACTGGAATACTTTCGAGATAGTACCAATCTGAATTGTAATTTTTCATATATGATAAAAAAACAACCAGAATAAGGTGAATTCGATGTTCGTCTTTTGTTTTCATCACTTTTTCGAGAAATGTATGAATAAACCGATAGGTAACCAGTCGTGTCATTGCTCGTCCATACTGTCGGATCAAACATTTGATCAGTTCATCAGATTCAATATTGTTGCCTTCACTAGTGGTTGGTGTCTCGTTATTATTTCCATACAGATAGATAATAATCTCTTGGTGTAAGACACTTTCACTGTCCTTTTTCTGTTCGACAGCTTGTTTTCGTGCCAGCATCATTTTTTTCAATCGAATACAGGCTCGTAGAGTATTTCTAAGTAATCGAATTCTATATGTTGCCTTTGTCACATATGATATGTCTCGTTTTAGTTGAAATTCTTTATTTTTCGACTGTTGTACAGTTGCCATAGATGCAACTTCAGACCAATCTTCGATCGTGGAAATAAAATAACTTTCTTTAACCGATTCAAGTAAAACTAGTGTCTTGATTTTAATTTGCTTGTATAATTGGTTACAATCACCACCTTGAGCTTCGGTAGTAGCGAATACTGTTTGAACGTGACTAGCATATTCATAAAGAGACAAAAGATTATTGTGTGGCTTTTGATAGATCGGTTGAGATAATTCGCCTTTGGCCAGACTAATGCTATGATAGTGTTTGATGTACACAGCAAATACAGCGGCAAACGCATCGTTTGCTTGCTGCTCAACTGACTTTTGTAATATATATTGCTTATCTCTCACGAACATTTTCATTTTCGATATCAATTCCGACCCTTGGCCAATGTTATTGTAAATAGACATTAAAAAATCGTGGTCTGTCAATGATTGTAGTGTTTGGTTGGCCAGGTCAAATTGACTATAGACGATTAAATTGGACTTGAATAAATTCAATAAATATGGATTATTCTGTGTGATGCTTTTCTCACATCCACCAGCAAACAGGGATAGTTTCAATGTATCGGTGTGTTTTTTCTCTAATGGATCCTGTGGAGAACCAACAAGAAGACGATTACTTATTTTTCCTAACAGTGCAGGAATCAGATAAGTGTTTGTACCATCATCAATATTTGTCGTTTGTAGTAAATACTCCACAAGTAGTGGTGCAACTTCAATGAAGACAGGTTGTATTGTTACAAAATTGAATTTGGGTTCTGTTAGTGTACATAAACCGACGAGAAGTGACTTTAGAAAAGTATTAATAACCGCTGTGCCGGTACAATATGTGATTATCTGAGTTGCATATTTAACCACAAGAACAGCTACTGAAGAACATTCGAGTTCGTATGCAACATCACATGATTGATTGTTCAGTCGAACCAATAGTAATTCTTGAAACGTCAATAAGATCTTCTCTAATCCATCTACTTTTTGTCCTTTAATAGAGCTCGATTTTAAGCAAATATCAATAAATGAATGTAATATTGTTGATGCTGTTGTTTTCTCATCATGGACACTTTCATTGCATAGAACATCGATCCATTTTTGTATGCTGACATGTTTGCGCAGTTCTATCAATAATAGCTCAACTAATACAGGATGCTTATTTTCAACGATATGTTTATACATGAATGATAGTTTATTGGCAAATGACCATGTTTGTTTGTCAATCAAGTAAATCAAAGCTTTCGACGCTTCTTTACATATGTCTTTTGATTCATCATCTAAAGCCAATTTTAAGATTGATACAAAAGATTTTTGAAAATCCTCCTCCGTTTCAAATGCATGGAAATTGTCAATATTTGATACCGTGAAAAAGTATAAATGTGTTGTGAGTAAACGTAGACAAGCGGTTAACATATAGATTAGACTTATATTCGATGATGATTGTGCCATCATTAGTCGTTCTATCAGATCAAACAATAGTTTAAATGTGTTTGGGTGAAACTCAAATGAAAGTGAACCATCAAGTGAATCACGGTCGAATTGTGATTTCGATTGAATATGATTGTGAAGATCAATGTATGCCAGTAATATGGATGATATGAATTGTCCGGTGAATTTTTTCTCGTCCAAATTTATTAATTGCGTGCTTGGAAATGATCCAATTGATTTTAAGTATTTAAGTGCGACTGGAGCAATATTGTCAACAACAGCTGTGTTGGTAGTGGCTGATGTTTCTTCTAGACAAGATACAATAGCCCTCGTTTTGTTACAGAAAAAAGCCTAAGAATAGACATTATCGTCTCTAGTTTTCGATAATCGGAAGATCGATTTTGTCTGAGTATACTCAAGTTCAAAAATGAATCGGCTGTCGCTATCTCTGAGATAGAAACTTGTTGATTTATTTCCAAGAAGTCTCGCGTCCGAAAAGTGAAACAATCATACACGAAATTTTTCAGTTCTTATGATTTAGAGGCTCAAGTCATATGGTTTCATTTCAAGCATGTTGTTCAATGAGAAATGATCTTACCAGTCTTATTTGTTCCTGTCGATGTTTTTTGATCTTCTTCAGATTCCACAGCATTGCCAATAAGATATGTGTTCAATTCTATGCATAACTCTCGTACATCGTAAATTTCAGTTGTATCAAAAATTAATTTGCTGAGTAAAGATAAAATGTCTTTCAATGATGCTTTCAAAATCGAAAATTTTAATAGTATTTTGATAGCTTGTTTGGCTGCAAGGGGATCAACTTCAATTTGTGTCGATAATTCATTGATGTAATTCGTCACAGGTTTTAGTAGTTTAAATAAGCCACTCGATCGTTTATAGATATCAGAAAATATATATTGAATTGGAATTTGTTCGACAAGTTGACTTGCCAATGTGAATATTTCATGAATAATCATTGGATCTTTTTTCTCTGCTGATTTGATTAGCATCAGTAAGAAGGATATCAAGGATTGTACTGCCAAAGACGATAATTGTTGAGCTTGAAATTCATTGAGTTTCGTTTGTTTGGCAAGATCAGTATCCGTTTGAACCTCCATCGATACGCTCTCGTAATTAGATGAATCGATAAATGATCGTGCAAGAATGGAAGCATCTGCATTTTCATCTCCTTTCAGTTGTGTATCATAGTAATTTTGCAGTTGATACTGTTTATCAAGGATCGACTGATTATCGTTCACTATCCTCGTATTGATCACTGTGATATGATCCAATACTTGTTGAACTATTCCAGCAATGTGAGTGTTCAACTGGTTCAGTTCAGATGGATGCGTTAGAAGAGACAAATGAGTTCGAATCTGTTTGATTAAAATTTGTTTCGTAATTGACATTGCAATCGAACTTTGTTGATCATGATCATTCTGCGAAAGCGAATTGATATTAATAGTGTTCACTGTTTCTAGTGGCAAAAACAAATAGATATCTTCTGTATCAATGCCTGACAATATCCCATCTGAATGTTCCAGTTTCGTTTTCGTCCAGTCAAGAAGTGTGAAATCAAGTGAAGATAAATTTTGACCCATTTTTTCACGATAACGGTCAATGAATCACAATATAGATATTACTGCTGTTCTGAAACATAAAAACTTCTCAAAAAAAAAAAAAAATTAAACAAAAAAACGCTACGAGGCGTCACTATGCTCACACAATTGAAATTTTTACTAAAATGGTAGTCTTCTGATGCTCAGAGCTCCGAAATAAATGACAGAGTTCAATCTAATAGATGTATCAAACAGAAACTCTGAGCTATATTGCCAGAAAACTGTCACTCGACAGTTCTTTTTAATGAAAGAATCGACTGAGTGTGACTTCATGTCTTGTCGTTGTATGAAGACATGCAATCATACCTTGCTGTTGATTCTATTCAAAAAATGAATCTTTTTCTGACCGATCGAAAGCGGTTTTTTCGTTCTGTTGAGTCGAAAGAAAGAAAGAACAAAGAAAAAGAAGAAAATGATGCTATTTTCTTTTCGTATTTTAACTGCTGCACCTACACCTATTAGTAAAAAAATATTTCACAGAAGGAAAGCAAAATTGTGTGCGATAGATTTCGATCAAATGACGAAAATTCATGCTAAAGGCAGTTCTTCAATCTTGATTTTACCCACATGGTTGACAGTGCTATAAATGGCTTCTATAGTTGTCATTAGTTGTTAATGTGTTGCATCTGGTGAATTTTGAAAGTCTGTCATTTGAATTATTTTCTGCAGTAAGATATTATAGAAAGACCTTCTCAGTAAAGTGAACACGCAGGTTTAAGAGCCATTTCATGAAAAAATGACCTATATTAGCTCAGTCAAGGGCTTTAGATTTGCATGAAACCTATCATATCTTGTAAAGCACACTCTCTTACGCGTAAAGTCCAATTTTTAGATTTAGTAAATCGATCTCGGTTGATATATTGAGGACACAAGAAAACCATTAAAAAAAACGGTTTTTAACAAATTTAAGATTTATTCAAGTAAACATGTGTTGACTATATCTCCTCACTAACACAAACTACATTTCTAAAAATTTTTATCGAATACCCATTTTAGTATAGGCAACCTGAATATGCTGCCAATTTCGTATTTACTTACTAATAATGGTTTTTGATTTCCAGGACCTCCTACTTTGTAAAAAAAAGAACCACAGAACAATAAATGTTACACTTTCATAAACTCCTCGTGAGGTTTCATGAACATTTTAAACCCTTTATGAAAGCCTTGCCGAAAACACTACCCGAACATTCTACTTTGAACGATCCTAGTTTTATCTTTTTTTCTATTTTCTCGCGGACAAAAAAACGGCCTTTTTCCATTTCACTTCTGCATCGCTTTACACTTTGTTTTAAAAAAACAAAATATACCACAAGATGCAGCGTGAAAAGAACTACAACCTACAAAGTAAAGCTTATTTTA